ACCTTTTTTTTAACCCGCTATGTATTTAAAAAAGGATTTCTTGTTATCCTTGATCTGGGGTGCTAGTCCCAGTTCCATCTCCGCCTTGGCCTTCCTAACAGCCCCCCTACAATCCTGAGCAACGGAGGTATAGTCCTCCCTGGTGATGGCTCCTCCCTTCCGTTGGGTGTACACCACCACCTTAGCTTTGAGACGTTCCTGGATGCTTTTGGTGAGTCACGGGGGCTTTTGAGCACTCTTGTCCCCTTTGATCCATGTTGGGATTGCCACCCTTTGGGCTTGGAAGATCGTCTCCTTCAGGAACGACCACTCTTCTTGGACTCCCAACTTCCTACCCCTCCAGGACCTAAGTGTCTCCCCGATTAGTCTCCTTAGCTCATTGAAATCTACCCTCCTGAAGTCCAGGGCTGCTGTCTTGCTGTAGGCCTTTCTCACCCTGCACTGGATGGTGAATACCAATAGGCGATGATTGTTATCACCCACGTGATCAAGCACCCACAGTCCCCTCACCAGGTCGTCGCTTGTGGCCAGGACCAGGTCTAACAAGGCATTTCCCCTGGTGGCACCGTGCACCTCCTGGGTTAGATGGAGGTCCTGTAACACAACTAGGAACCTATGTGAGTGGTCAGACCTGGCTGACTGCTCTTCCCAGCAAATGTCCAGATAGTTTAGGTCACCCATGATGACCACGTCCTTTAACTGCCTCCGCAAGCTGACCTGAGAATTCCCGATCTAGCCCTTCTCCCTGGTTGGGTGGTCTATAGTAGACCCCACTGTTAAGTCCCTTTCCTCCCGACCCCCTTGTATTCTGACCCAGAGCACTTCAGTTTGTCCCTCCTCTGACCCAGTGCTGCTCGCTGAGGATGTGAATTGTTCTTTCACATAGAGTGCCACAACCCCACCTTTCCTCCGTTCTATCCCTCCTGTACAGCCTATAGCCCTTGATGTTCACCACCCAGTCGTGCATTGGATCTCACCACGTTTTGATGAGCCCCACTCACTTATAGCTTGGTCTGACAGGACCTGCCTCTAATGAACCCATGTTGGTTGTCCCTAAGCATAAGCTCCCATGCTGATCCCTCGCAGATATGCACCTGGATAATTTTCTCAAAGAGCTTCCCCAGGACATATTTTCATAATTAAAAAAAAAAAAATCCATGCAATTTTATTTCAGTTAAAACACAGCTTTTGTTTGTTGATGTTGGTTTTTGTTTTTAAAAGACATGCTCCCTCAGCCAGATTTTTGAAAGTTCTTTCCTAAGGATGCCACTATAATTCTAATGGGATTTGCAAAATATCTAAGTTAAGGCATAGTATTCTGTTCAATAGTTGTGGGGTAGGCTTTTACTGATGTTTCAAAATTGCCAACAGAGGCCTAAAGCTGTCTGGCAATTAACCCTAAATACAGCACAAGGTGAGAATTTCTGTGCATTATATGTTTTATTGGACCAATTGCATGATTAGGATAAAGTTAAACAAGCATTTGAATGCAACACATTCTTTTTCAGGTTTCCTACATATGGTAGTTTCCTAGAATCAGTTAATACTGGGAGACTATAGGAATTATGAAGTGTATTGTAATTCTGCAATAGCTGGATGGGATGTTTTGTTATATCAGGTAAAAGCAAGACAATATTCCATGAATCTATGGTTTGAGGGACAGACATACAGAGTGCCAAAATGCTAATGTGGAAGATAAGGTGGATGGACAAGGTTGACTCTGGAAGGTCTGGTAAAAAACCCAAAGAATAAATGGAGACAGTAAGAAAATTACGTGTATTGGGAATAATCAGATAGATAGCTCTGTGAGGGAATTTCAGTCTAGATCCAATCAGTTTCTGGAACTCAAAATATGACATGAGAAATCTAGAGGGATAAAATGGAGCAAGAGAGGGTACTAGCTAGCAAGAGCTGATCTGAAGGAGCCAGCTGCCATGGAAATCTCCCTTGCTAGCCCAGTTGTAACTGGAAATGCTTGCAACTAAATACTGTGTGGGTGTATTAATTAGTGCTGCAGTATTACTATCCAATATATAGTTGGTATTCTGTTACAGTATTGTAGAAAATTTGTTTAAAGTACCTGTATGACTGCTGTTGGCCTCTGGATTTAATAAATTAATTCTAGCTGAATTACTTTTTAATCAAATTCTAACAGATGCAATACAAATCCTTACTCTGTGAAGCAAAAAAAAAAATACAGGCAAATACAAATCAACAACTGTAGCAGCTAGCACTGTAACAGAAAAATAATTCATTTGAACAAGACAATTTATTAAATGGAGTGCTATACTACAGGGTTCAGGCTCAAGAGATGTAACATATGACGTATAGAAGCCCACTATCTCACTAATCTTTTTTGCTCCTTTTGCATATGTCCCTCCCCCATCATAAAACCTCTTCGTGTACTGGAAAAATAATAGGCACACTACTGGGGACAGTAGGCACATCTACATGTGCTATTAACGTGCAACAATAAACACCAGCACTTACTGACTTTATTGCTCTCGGGCACTATGTCTGAATATGCACCTGGGAATGCAGTACATTGAGCTGAGTGGGAGCAGCTCAGGCCCAGAGGGTCAGCCTGCCAACCCAGGGCTGTTCCCCACAACTCAAAATGCTGTGGAGGGGCTGGCTGGGGCACAATACTTTAGTGCAGAACTAGCCAGGAGGCAGCCTCCTCATTGGATCACCCTTGTGCCCCAACCAGCCCTGTCATACTCTACACATGCGCTGCTGCACACTAAAAAAACCTCTGCCACAAGATAGTACTTGTAAATTCAAGTACTAATACTAACCTTCCACAGCGTTTAGTACTTTGTTACAACCTAAAAAGGTTGCACATGTAGATGCAGAGATATTTACTGCCAAGCTAATTAGGCAGCTATACAGTAAATGCCTTTTGTAGATGCACCTAGAGAACGTGACCTACTTATCCAACACAAAAGATACAGTTAAAATAGTCCATGTTAAAAATTCAGACATCAAATATTTAAATACTTAAAAGTGAAGTGCAAAGGACTGGTCTTGCCAGAGGATAAGTTCTTTAGAAGAGACACAAAGGTACTCTGTGTCCTTTTACCTTGTGTGTTTTCAGTCATCCTTAATGTGCAGTTTGGGAATCCAATGCACACAGAGTACCTTGCTTTTAGGTTTAGGACAATTTCCTGACTTGTCTAAGCAATGAGGTTACAGCTTCTAGTGTCTTTGCCAAACAGTCTAATATAGTGGTGCTCAATTCATACAGCCCCATGGGCCATTCCAGCATGTGAGTGGGGTCATCTGCCCATGGGATTGGGAAATTACAAATTTTGGAGCAGCACAAGCAATAGCAACATTAACTACTGTAGCTCCAGGAACTCTGGCAATACCAGTCCTCCTGGTGCCTAATCTCCAGACCCGTGGGGAATCCTGTGAGCTGGACAATATGGCTTGGCATGCTGGATCCAGCTCATGGACTACATCTTTGTCACCCCTGGTCTAACAAAGTGATTCTCAACTAGGGTGTTGTGCAATATGACTGCTTGTAGGAGAGCAAACACCTGCATAAGGCTCACAAGATAAACCCAGAGCTCTGCTATTGTAACACAGCATCACATTATAGAAGAGGTTTAGAATGAAATCCTGGAAAGAGAAAGGATAAAAGATTTAACATAAACAGGTCCAGAAAAACAATTAAAATGTAGAGGCCCAAGTCAATAGGAAATAAAATTCTGCAACAAAGTTCTCTGGCTCACGTGGGGACTCCAAATGGCAGATGAGGAATGCTGCTATGAATAACAGCACATTAAAGAAGCTAACAAAGTCATTTCAGCTCCCTGAGTTTTTCCCAACAATGCTCTTTAAATCCCATCTAAAGTTCTGAGAGGGAGTGCCTTGTATTGTCATGGAAGTAAGCATGTGGCTAAGAAGGTGGTGTCAACATGAAGGCTTTGGATTCTTTGGACAATGGAGGAGGACTGTATCAAGAGTGCAAAAGGAAGAAGTATGGACAACAAGCAAAATGAGCTAAAAATCACAGCTGGAGATAAAACTATGGTTTGATTGGTGGGATGGCTCTTATGACTGGAATGCCAACACTCTGTTTCAGAAGGACAGTAGGGCCATGTGAAACAGCACCGTTTCATTTCGACTTCCGTTTCGTAACCCCTTTACAAAAGGGGCAGGCCATGATGCCTGCCAAGTTTCAAGGAGATAGGTGCAGGGGTTTCTGGGAAACTGAACCTGAAGCTGCTGACGAGCAAAACTCGTGACATGTATGACTGTGTGTGTGTTAAAGTACAGCTGTTTTTCCGTGCCTACCCCAGAGCACTGGGATTGGAAGGGACCTCAGGGTAGGATCACAGTCACTGGCCAGCTACGCGACAATATCAGAGCAGTCCTCCTCCACTCTACCCCCTCCCTCTCCTTACTTTGTTTCCCTGCAAGCAAGCCCAGCTTTGCAACTCAAAACTTTCAAAATGTTTCAAGTGTCCTCATTTTGTTTCTAAGTCTTTCATTTCATTTCAATCTCACTGTTTTGAGCTTGAAACAAGTCTAAATAATGTCAAAACAAAACACCCGGTGAAATTTCAGTCCTAAAAGGACAGGGTTCAGAGAAAAGGTGGTGGCATTGCCTTTGTGGAAATAAGTTTAACCAGGCCTCTTACTTGACTAAGAAGAGAGAAAAAGAGAAGAGAAAAAGATGCTGATGCTATGTGTTTTAAAATGGTCTAAGATAAGGAAAAACCTTCATGCCTTGTTTTGTCTGCGTGCAAATGTTAACCTCCTCCTTTCCAGGAACCAAAAAAAAACCAAAACAAAAAAACCCCACAACACTGATAGCTGTTTCCAAAACACAACGTGTTTGCTGAAAAAGTAAACAGCTTACGTGTGACAAACAAATGATTAACATCTTTCTGTTTCTCTCAAGGTTGCTTTGTCTGAACCCTGCATATTTTCTCGCTGTCTAAAGTATAAATACGCTTGTAAACTTGTAGAGGTCAGAGTTCTTTGAGAACCCTCCTTGTGATCACTTGTATAGCTTTAAATAAATCTAGATGACTCTGCCAACTCTAATACAACCACAACGCGAAGTTTGAGTTCTTCCACAATTTGGTGCCGTGACTCGGATAGAGACACCTGGAGTGATCAGTTGAGATACAGACCGTCTCCTCACTGACGCCCCGGTGCCAAACTAAGGTAAGAGACCTTTTGAAATCTCTGTTGGGGCTTTTCAGTGAGAAACTGCATGTGTGTTTTCCTGTTCACTGCTTGAGGCTTACCCTACCCAACCCTTTTGCTGCCAGAATTGTCAGACCCACTATGTAAGTAGGAACTGTGAGTAGAAAAGAGTTTGAAACTGTGTTGCTGTTGTCAGTGAATGTGTTTCCCCGAGTGAATTAAGTTCTGTAAAGAACTATGAGGTCTTTCTGAAGCTAGGAGTGGAAACCTTGTCTGGCGCCCTTGGGGCGGCTGCACTTGTTCTGTGTGCTCTTCGAAAGCAAGGGTGCAAGGTGGAAACTCTTAGACTGAAGAAGATCAGGGTTGTGTGACGAATTTTCCCTACCCCCCCTCTCATGAATGAGCCGTGTCTAACAGTGAGTTACTGCGCTGTGTGCCGGTGCTATAGACATTAGCCACAGCATTCCTGTGCCGCTAGCAAATCTCACAACCTGACCGGACACCCTCAATAAGCCTCTCCTGTGTGAAAGACCTGTGTGAATTGAAGTTAAAGACATGGGGAGCGGAGGGTCTAAAGACGTACCGGCTCCGCCAAAAGGGACTCCAGCATTGTACATGTACACACACTATGGCCATAAAAGTTGTACGTTTCTAGACAAATGGAATGAGTATACCAGAGATGATTCTAGCTTGCCGTTTCCCCTGGAGGGAACATTTGATTTAAGTAATCTTTCATCTCTGCGGAGCCTTTGAGTCAAGAGGCAGTAAAACACCAGACTCAAATGTTTCCCTCAAATGTGGGAAACATTTTTTGATTAGTATACAGAAGCTTCCAAAAGACGTCAAGAATCTCAAGTTTGCAGCCTTAAGGACTCCCAAGAAAAACTAAAACCTCAGATAAAGGAAATAAAACAGAAAAATGCACCAATAGGGGATCCCCCATCAACAACATTATCAGCACCAACACAACTTTATCCACAATTGACTGAGAATGAATCTGTAGAAGACATCACTGATTTTTTAGTGTGCCACCCCCATACCAGTCCCAAGAGATCTCCTAAACCCTGTTAAGCAATTCCCCAATATCAGGGAAGAACCCCAGAAGTTTAGAGAGGAATTGGAAACTGTAATCAATTGTTATGAGCCAACCTGGGCAGATTTAAACCAATTAATGAGAAGTGCTCTGCCCTCTGAGGTTCGTAACCGCCTCATTGCACAGTCTAATTGGCCTCCTCAAGACCCGGAATGGGAGGTCGCTTAGTAAGTGCCCGAGAACTCCTTCTTGAGTCCGTGCTTAAAATCTGCCCCAGGAAAACTGACTGGGCCAAAATAAATAACTGTAAGCAAAACAGAGGAGAATCCCCAGCGGACTACATGGATCGCTTGAAACTCATATTTGAAAGACATTCTAGCATTGAAGATGCAGCTGAAACTGCCCCAGAAGCAGTTGCCGCTGCTTTTGTCCAAGGACTTCTTTCTAAAGTCCAGGAACAGCTGCGTACAATTGCTGTAGGTGGGCAGACTAAGACGCTTACAGAATTAGTCACCATTGCTAATCACTGTGCAGCCTGCCAAGAAAAGAAAAAGGAATCCACAGAAACTAAGCTAATGTCTTTACAAATACAAACTTTAGGCAGAGGTAGAAGCCGAGGTTTCTGTCGAGGACAATTCAGAGGCAGGGGACATGGTCGTGGGATGGGACGAGAATTTGTCCCAAAATAATGACAGTTGTTATTATTGTGGCCAACCAGGACACTGGAAGGCTCCATGTCCTCACTGGTCTGGCCAGCCGCGGATGACATTTAACCAGCCACCACCTCCTCTCACTCAATTTTCTGTTCCGAACCAAGAAGCCTCCTGTTAAGAACAGCCTGAGGAATGATAACATCATCACAGTCCCGCTTCTCTCACTTAATCAAGAGGATCCCTTTGATTCCTGTTTAATAAGCGGCACTCCTACAAAATGTTTAGTAGATACCAGCACAAGTCGCTCTACTCTCCGAGCTGAAGAATTTTCTACAACTCCCCTCTCCAGGAATTTCAAATCAGATAGTTCCTCATCCTGTTTCCCAACCCTTACATGTTTCTCTTGGCCCTGTTTCTGATCAACATGCCTTTCTCCTCAGTCCTTGTTCTCCTGTTAATTTGTTGGGCAGAGATTTGCTTTGTAAACTCAGCTGTACTATTTATTGTTCTCCAAATGGTGTTTATTTAGATGTTCCCTGTGTTAATGAAATGGCTGTACTTGCTACCCTAGCTAGCTCACCGCCTGAGTCCCCTAATCTTTCTGTGTTACAAGAGGAAATCATAAAGGCTGTCCCTCCGTTTCTCTGGTCTCAACATGCTAATTAAGTAGGGCAAATCCATACTGCCCAGCTTGTAAAAATTAGATTAAATCCAGCCACTATCTTGTCCTGTACTCCTCCTAATGCCTGTTATTTTACTGTTGTTGACTTGTGTTCTGCATTTTTCTCTATCTCTATACACCCTGCTAGCCAGTTTCTCTTTGCATTCACCTATCAGGGACTTCAGTATACCTGGACTCGATTGCCCCAAGGCTATACTGAATCCCCTTCTCTTTTTTCTCAACTTCTGGAGGATTTAGATGACATCATATTTAAAGAAAATTCTGTGCTTGTGCAGTATGTTGATGATCTGCTCTTGGCATCTACCTCCCTTAAAGAATCAGCTTTACAGGCTTTAACTCTCCTCACCTCTCTTGCCCTAAAAGGCCATAAGGCATCTAAAGAAAAACTACAACTTTGTCTCCCTCATGTTCACTATTTGGGTCATGATATTTCGGCTGGAGAACGACTGCTTTCTTCTTCCAGGATAGAAACTATTCTTAAAATCCCTAGACTAACTACTGTATCCCAAATGCGTACTTTCCTAGGCATGGCTGGCTACTGCCGCCAGTGGATAAACTTCTGCTATGCATCTGTAGTCAAGCCCCTGCAAAACCTGACTCTTGTTAATACCCCTGAGCCTTTGCCCTGGACTTCAGAAGCCAAAGCCGCTTTTGCCTCTATTAAACAAGCTGTGTCGCAAGCACCTGCCCTAGGCTTTCCCGATTATACTAAACCCTTTATTCTTTTTTGTCATGAAAAAGACAGATTTGCACTTGCTGTGCTCACTTAAACACATGGAGACAAGCACCATCCCATTGCTTATTATAGCTCTGCTCTTGACCCAGTTGCAGCCGGACTTCCTCCATGTCTTCATGCTGTAGCTGCAGCTGCTATTACTGTTGAACTGTCCTGTACCCTTGTATTAGGTTCTACCCCC